ATTAATGAGGCTACCAGCACCATGCCATACTGATCTCTCTTTTCACATACACCACTTACAGACATAGCAAGCATGCGCTTATACATTAGTTGGTCCTTTACATAAACTTTAAAGGAAGTTTAATTTCAACAGTTTAAGATGTTTTAGGAGAAGCCCCATAGATATTTATCTACATTTTAGACAGCTAAACTCATGAAAAACTTCACCTCAAGTGGCCACATGTAGGTTACCTATGGAAGAATTAGCCCAATTATGAGTTGGGGGTTTTGACATTTTATGCATTATGTGCAGAAAAAAATGAAGCACACAGCTACTGCAGAGCTCTGAGTAAGAAATCATTTGAACATTATGCATGATACAACTGACAATCCTTTTCTGAAGTTCTCTGCTTACCACTTCTCATCTGTATTATTTTACCTGGCCTAAATTCAACCCCAACACCTAGTTTTAAGCCTCCCCCATTATACGCACCTCCTCTGTTCTCAGATTACAGCCTGACAAATACTGTAAGTGCTGATATTGGGTGTACCTAGTGATAAATATTTTTCAATGTCACACACATAACATCACTTTACTTTGAATTTCATTTTCAGTAATGAACAATTCAGTCACACAACATTACGCTCGCTGTGCATCATTCCCTGCAAAGTTAAAAGAAGCCACCCAAACAGACAAGAAACTGCCCCATTTGTTTTCTCACGGTAACTGTGATAATTAGGGAGATGGGCACAGTGCAACTCTACTGAATCCTAAAACTTTTTATGATACAGTCTGAAGTTGAAAACAACTGAGTTTTACACAATCAAATCACTCAGCCAACAGAATCTTACCTACAGCCATCTAAATGTCAGAAAAACCTCAGTATCCAATCACTTAACTGAAAGGTTGCTTGAGTTTTTTGTTGTTGGTGTGTTTTTTTTTTTTTTATAAAAATGGATGAATCAGTTCTGCTTTTATAAGGAAAACCAACAATACACCCACACAAGCATAAGAGCCAAACTCAGATGATGCTTAAGCTTATGGAAGAATCTAATGTAAGACGAGGCTCTTCCCCTTCCCAGTAGATATCAGTCTTTACTGGCCTGTTGTCCATTCTTGCCTGTTCTATAGACCTACTGTGTTTTTGTTGCATATGCCCATTTGAGAAGCACGACTTTAGTGAGCATGTGCTGAGCATATGGGCAATCTAATTCCCTGCTTATTCCCACATTACTTAGAAGAAGCAGCCTGCTCCCTTCCCAGCCACAAAAGCTACTGTTTGCTTCTTCCAAAGGGCCATACTCTCAATTTGTTATGTTGCAAAGCCTGGGTCTGTGAGGAAGGAGGGCAGACGAAATGTCAATGCCACTGCCAATATAATTCTTCAGAAAATTCACTTTCAAGAGTTCAACTGAAAAGAGACCAAACAGGAAGAGACCAAGAACTGGCTTAACTGAACTACCAAGCAACACTGACCAGACCAATGGCTGGGCAGCCTAACATGAGCAAAAGGGCTGAAGAGAACAATTTTCCCTACTTATCAGTTCCAGCAACATACTCGACACAGTGATCCCATATGTTTTATAGCATATTCTATTCAAAAATGAAACCATTGCAAATGCTAAAGTCTTTGCTGCTACTGTCCTCCCTAAACACTAAATCATATCCTCCCCCTCCTCCTAAGAGGGCCAAACAGAATTAAGAACTATTCTGCCACCATAATGTAATAAGTAACATTCAAAAGGGGAAGACAAAAGGGCTTGTAGGGCTATTTCTGCCCTAGAACATCTAGCAGATTCCAAACTAACAGTGGGATCACTCCTTACAAGGCACTGTATACACACCCACACAGAAGTACATAAATCCTCCACTCTCTATACAAAGAAATATATGCACGTCAATACACCCCACATGCCTTCCTCAATCATCTGAAGAAAAACGCAAGTCCCCAAGGGCCTTCTAATGCTCTCACATCCCCAAACTAGCTTTCTGCATAACTTTTTGTTGCTCCTGATGAGAAACTAAGACAGCAATGGCGTGATTTTTCTTTCTGATGTTAGAATCTCCACTGTCCATTTCAGAGCAGACAAGAATGGAATTAGCATGAATCACCACCCTTAGGTGGTACGTTTCCATTTTCATATATTCTGTGAACAGAAAATGGTAGTTTTCTAAATCCATTCCAAGAAGTTACTTTCAGACATTAAAGTACATTTCAGACAAAGTAACTCCGGATTAAAAAAAAGAATGCTTTGAAACTCGAACTAAAACACAAAAGTATTTCATGTATAAAGATATTCTCAACTAAATTTAAAAAAAAGGACTTGTTAGACAACAATACACAACAGGTCCAGCATTCACTGCACAAAATTTGCTGTAGTATCTAGTATCATCTCACTTGAGCATCCTTTTCAAGCCTTAGTACCATAAATGAAAACAACCTGCTTTATTACCAACCAACCAGAGTCATGTCTTAACCCTGCAGGAATCCCAGGTATAAATGTGTGTGATTACTCCTGTGAGATTAGCATAAAGCCTTATCTATCCTCTATTAACAAGACACATAAAATTGCTTTGTGAAGAAAACATGCAAGAAAACAAGGTAGCAACGGATTATTACAGCAGGGAATGCCACGATTTGAGTTTATCCTCCTATGTCGCACAAGCTTATTACACCAGCTTGCAAGTTACATACTTAATAAAGGACAACTTCTCTTTCTCCATACAAAGATTATGCCAAGGTGGAACCCAGAACTGCTTGTGAGAGGTGCCTGCAAATGCAAATTAACAGTTTCATATGCAGCTGCAGAAATAAACTGCTCTTAACCTTCACCTAATACTTACTGTTGGCTCCCACATCCTCAGCTACTCCAGAACCTCTCATTCTCAGGTATGTGAATCCCAGTATCAGAAAGAACAAGCATGCAGCAGTTAAGAGGAACATGGACAGGTAATGTGCACTGAAGCCTCCAGTGGTGGATACCTCCTCTCTTTTGAACTGTTGGAGAAGCTCCTCCTCGGGCTCTGAGAGATTCTTCTTGTAAGCGTTTTTCAGGTAGGTATGATTTGAACCCGTATGATTGGAGTGGTTGAGTCTAAGGGAGGAGGCGGTTCCCCCCGGGGGAAGGCTATTAGTAGCTGAATAGATCCTGGATTCAACATTATAGCTACCAGCAGCACCACTGAGAACGTGATTATTGGTCGCTTTCCTAACGGTGCCTGGAGGGTCAGTGATTTTACTGCTGTCCACATCCGTGAGCGGTGGTGGAAGCAACAATACCGTAGGGGATTTCTTAGATAGGCCAATGCGGTATCTGGGGCTGGGAGGACTAGAGTCCAGATTTTCACATCCTCCTCCTCCTCCCCCCGCCGCCGCCGCCTCCTCCCCTTTTCTGCCCCTGTCTAGACTCCCGGCAGCAGCCGCCTCCGCCGCCCTGTCATTCGTTACGACTACAGCAGCACCACAGCCTCCGCCAGCCCTTTCTTGGCCCGTCTCCATCACGCCAGCGCCGGCTGCAGCGCATTTGCTTGTTATGAATGGAGCAGGAGACTTGCTGAGGCTCCGTCTGGGCCGACGAACTGCAGGCTCCTCCTTCGGTACCTGCTGCTTGTTCCTCGCCCCCGCCGCCACCTCCTCCTCCTCCTCCGAGTCGGAGTACTTGTCCCTGCTGCCGCCGTAGGAGGGGAGCCGGTTGCCGTTCACGGTCCGGTTCTTCCACTGCTGCTTCTCGCTCTCCTCCTCCTCCTCTTCGTCGCCTTCCTCCTCTCCTTCCTCGCCGTCCCCCAGCTCCCTCACACCCTGAGCCGCCGGCTGCCTCCTGGCCGCTGCCCCCCACCAGGAGCTGGGCTTCCGCCTAGCCGCCTCCTCCGAGAGGGAGCTGTTACTCACGCCGCAGGCGCCGTGGGGGGCGGCGGGCCTCAGGCCGCGGAAGAGGGGCGAAGCCCGCTCCCTCCTGCTGCCGCCGCCGGCGCCGGCCTGGCTCCGGGGACTGCTTTCCACATCCGACTCGTCCGAGCTGAAGCCCAGCAGCACTTTGCCGCCCCCGGCAGGGGGTGCTGCGCGGCTCCGGCCGCTCCCGGCGCCGGCCCCGGGGAGGTACGGGTGCTCTGACACCGCCAGCCGCGCGCCCGCTCGCCCGGCGCCACTGCCGCCACCGCCACCCGGCGCCGCTCCGGCCCCCGTGTTATTGTTGTTGCTGTTCCGGGTCTTGTTGGCGCCGCTGCGGGCCCCAGCACGCTCATCCTCGCGCAGCTTCTTTAGTTTCTTCAGGTACACGGGCCGGGTGCTCTCGGTGACCGGCCCTGGGGAGAAGCCGAAGCGCCTCAGCTCCGAGAAGAGCTCCTCGTCCGTGAGCTGCGAGGCCGTCGCCATTTTCCGCTCCCCCGCCGCCGCGGCGTTTCCTACCCACGCGCCGCGCTCCCCGCCGGAACTGACGCGTGCGCACTCGGCTGTGGCCTAGACCTGCCTGTCACCCCGCGGCGCCGCCCGCCGGGGACGGGGCCAGACGGGCGGGGGGCGGAGAGGCGGGGCCGCGCGGCGCCGCCGCGGCCTCCCCCGCTCCACCGCCTGGTGGCGGCTGGCGCCGGCGCCGCGAACCGCTCCTGACGGAGACGTGGCCCGGGCGCTCGCCGCGCGGGGCCCAGCGCTGCCACGGGGTCGGCCCGGCGGGTGGCTCAGGCGGGGAGGGCGGTCAGCGGCGGCGGGATCGCGCCTCACGAGAAGGGGGATCAACGGCGTTGCCGGCCTTGTTCGGCAGGTCGCGGGTTGCGCAGCCCCGGCGGGCCGAGGGACGCCGGGCTCGGAGCTGCTGGAGCGAGGGGCGGCTTGTGTTGTGGGCGGTGGGATTTGGAACTGGAAGGGTGGATCCGGGGAGGAACGCACTGTTCTGTGTCCGCCTAATAGACTTCGGGAAGAGAGCGCCAGCTGAGGGTGGTGAGGCTCTAGGAGAGGTTGCCCCATCGCTGGAAGTGTTCAAGGCCAGGCTGGACAAGCTGGTCTAGTGGAAGGTGCCCCCTGCCCGTGTCGCAGGCGGTGTGCTCGCTTCCAGCAGTGCACTGAGTCGACTTGTCTCTTTCTGAAGTCCGACATCAGGACATCACAGCTGTGAGGAGACAGATGAAGTGTAATGGCACGAATGCTGCGGGAGGCTGCATCCTCACTGCCAAAGGCTGAGCACCACCCACATTAAGTCTGCAATTGCCTGGCTGTATTTTTCTCATTTCTTTGGGAAGATACAGTCTTTCACATACATACAGTTGAAACTATCCATCTGACTGTATACAGAAGTTGCGTACTTGTCAAAATGATGGTTGTACTAGCATTTCTCAGAGCGCGAGGCCCGTCTGGATTAGCCCTTTGGTCACAGAACCTCGTGGAGGCTTCAAAGTCCCCTTCTGCCCTTTGTGTCTTTATCCACCCTGAATGACAAAAGCCTAGGTTTACCTTCTGCTTTCCGCATCAGCTGCAGGCAGCCAGGTTTCCAGTTTGAGCTAACTCAGACTGGCCTTAAACTCATGTGCAGAAGTGGTCCAGAAATAGGATCCAGCTGCAGGAGCAGTTGTGCATTCCCCCTCATAGTCTGCAGCAGCGAGGACATAGTGGCTGTGCCCTGCTAATGTCAAAACTGAAGTTGCTAATCTTGGTGGTTGGAGAACATTTGCAGAGCAGGAGTTAAAGTAGCTGTGAGACAGCTATGTGCTGAAGATCAAGCCAAGTCTATAGTGCTAGAAGAGTGGCTTGAAGCCATCTTTCATGACAATGGTAGTGGTGATGATGCTGATGAGTAGTGATGATTAAGTCCTCCACCTCACCCTTCATTTCTGACCAGCCACATCTGGGAATGCGGAACCCATCCTATTGTTCCCCTAAACCTCCTGTAAAACAACTTTTCTGAGGCCGAGAAGCACTAGATAAGGCGTTGTGTTGCTGGTGCACTGGCTATGACACCACTGTACAGAATCTCCTCCTCGTTTCCCTGGCAGAGGAGCCATTTCACACACAGCAGTATTGTGCACTGGAGCAATGCGTGGAAGTCCATCTGCAAGGCAGATTACACTCAATATGAACTCCATTGCACATTAAACCACTAACATAAATGGACCTGCTCTGATCTATCTCCCAACCTGTAGTAGCTGATTGATATCCCAAATGCTGTGAGAAATGCTTCCAATATTCCATTCCTCCTTCTCAGAAGCAGCCCACAGTTTCCACCAGCTCTCTGGGATACATGTATGAATGTGCTTATCTCCAGCTGCTTGTGGCACTGGCCAAACAAACAGCAGTAGGTTCCAGGCCAGATACCATTCTGACAGGCATGCTTCTGTCTAGTGCCTGCTTGGGCGCTTGCCTCCTCGTGGAAGAATGTGTATTGTCCTGCAAGAGGTGGAGATCCTGTCATTGATTTGACGAGTCAATGATATTATTGATGCAGCTTGTTTATTCTGCCTCTATTACAGCCAGAGCACGAGTTTATAAAACCCATTTACTTAGCAGCAGAAGGGCAGTGAATACAAGAATTGTTAACAATTGAATCATCTGCAAAACTATAGCATGTAAATACACAAAACAGCTGACTGAAAAGTCTGCGTATTCCAAGTCATGCTTTAAAATGTGTGTGCCAAAATATTTTGAAAAATTTCAAAAATCTGTCTTCTGATTGATACTGAAGTAAGGATACTTCTACTACTGATCCAAAATCTCCACATTTTTTAACAGTATTCATTACTATCAATAACACCAATGCCTTATTACTATCAATACCTCCAGGTAGTGAATTTTTAAGTAGATACTGGATGTAGATACTTTTTTAAATGTAAATGTCAAATACAGGGAGTGTGGAGCCTGTTCTTTATTAGGTAAAAAAAAAAAAAAAGGTGGTTGTTTCTAAATAAGACATTTTGGTTTATATTTTCCCTCTTGTCCTTAAAAGAGTGGTGTTCTCAGGAAACTGCCAGTTCTTCCACTGTTGCATACCTGGAGCATTTAGAAATCATGAGTCACATCTACAAGAAATACAATCCTCTTGTGAAACTTGTAATATTGTAAATCATGGAATGCTTTGGGTTGGAAATGCTGGTGTCTTTCTATTTACCTTTTGATTTTTGAGCCTTAAGCTATGCTGAAATCACATTCACATTCTCAGGAATGTGATGTTAGTGAAGGTAAATGTTAGTGAAGAGTAGGAATGTGCTTTTCCTTTCTTTCTTTAATAAGAGTGGAGATTGTTACGCAATCACAGAACTCACACAGGCACTCTTAAGTTACTCTTAAGACAGTATGCACAGGAAGAAATCACTCCTTCCTATGAAAACAGACTGTATTCATCTGTTTTTAAACATATTTAGTCTGGTTTATCCAGTTGTTTTATGAATGAAATAACATGATATAAGTTTTTGCTTACAAAACTGAATGGGCTTTTTCACTAAGAAAACTATTTTTTAAATATTACAGTTGCTGCCACTGTGCTAGTTCTGTGTGAACACTCACTTGCGCATCGCTCTTTTCAGTTCTTATTTCGACTCCTTACAACTTCCATGCAAGTTTTTGTGATGAGAGTGAATTGTTCACGTACTGACCATGCTGTTCTGCATGTGAGCTTGTGTATCTTGCCAATAAATCTTTTGCTGATAGCCTTTACTTTCCTGAGGGCATCTTATTAATGTTCAAAAGGCTTCTGTAGTCTCTTGCCTTTGTATTGCCGCGGATTTATGGCTAAGATGTGGACACTTCCCATGTGGTGCTGGGCTGCTTGCATATTGCAACAGTGTGAGCACATTGTGCTGGGCACCTTAGATCCCGCAAAAGAGACCATGTGTTTCCAGATTACTGTTCTTAGCTAAGTGTCCCATAGTAGTCCCAGAAAGTGTGTGATGACCTGCTAAGACTGCAGTTTTTGTTACTAAAAGTGGACCATCCTAAGTCATAAATTTGAGACGTCGTAAGGCAACAGAATGCTCCATTGCAGTTAATAATTTGCCTTTTATATAACTTATACTGATCGATAGAATAGCGTGTTCTCAATTGGGTGTTCATCCCTGAACAGGTCGTGTAACTCCTGGCTCACTTTATTATGTCTGTATTCCTGGGCACTTGGTGAGACTGTTGGAGGCATGTTGCTGACCCTGTATGTTGAAACAAAAATCCACAAACAGAACTCCAAATCCTTAAGAGTGGCTCAAAAACCTGTTTTTATTTAAAAAAGACAGTATGTTTACATGCAAGCTTTTCACTAGAATTTGCTTTATGTATTCAATTCTTTTCTCAGGAACCAGGAGGGCTAGATATATTTATTTTAAAACCTGAACCTGAGCCGTCATACTCCTTTTTATGCAGCCGAGCATACAGTTGGCTTTCTGAGCTGCAAGCGCACACTGTTGGCTCATGTTGAGCTTCTCAACAACCAACACTCCCAACAAGAAGAGCCATCATCATGCAATAGAAAAGAATGAAGTTTTCATTTTACTTTTTCATGTGAGGCTGGGTAATGCCTTTCTTGTGCCACAAAGCTCTAATTTCAGTTTATTCAAGGAATAAGCGAAGTATAAATACATACAATAGACAAAAATAAACCAAAGAAGTTCAGAATGGGCCCACCATTCTGCTTTCTTTGCATGTCATTAGGCTACTGCAAAGCACTAAATTCGGTGTGTTCCAGACAATTACTGGCATTACTATCTGTGCCTGTTTAGCACTTGCAGATATGAACCATTTTCATCGCTGTCTTGTACCTGGCACTATGCAAACACAAGAGAACATATTCCCTCTTTCTTGAATACACACTTGCCTCCATCACCTCCCACCTGAGCTGCAAGCAAGATACATAAGCAGGAATTCAGCAGCCGTTAGAAAATCTCATGTTCTAGGAAAATCACTTTTACATCTCAGCAGCGCAGACTGCTACAAGCACCTCAGTCTCTCTTGCTTCTAGCTTTGTGCTAAGTACTGAAGCCTTATTCCTAGTGCTCAGTAGTGTAGACCTGTCATATTTAGATTTTCTTAAGCTGTGTAATTTCCAGTCAATAACTCCATTTATATAGAAAGTTTCTCCCGTAAAGGAAGAACTTCCGTAAGAACTACTTCCAGACAGTGGGAACAAAGCTCCACTGGCCATAAGGACTACCATTTCCTAGTCAAAGTACATGCTGCATTTCTAGAGTTTTGTATTCTCTCAGAAAAATCAAGTACATTTAAGGATTGTTAACAACCAGGTTTTGGTCTACAGATAGGTTATCCACATATCCATTTAAAAGCAGCTTGGTCTTTCCTGAACCAGAGTTTCTGTGTCACACATCATGGGAGTCTCTAGCATGCATCACACACTCCAGTTGTTTGACAGATGTAGATGTCATCATTGCCCTCAGTTCTCCTCTGTGAGGATTATGCACTGGAAGTTTCTCTTCGCCGCTTATCTGTCCTTCCCAAACTATGCTGCTAATGGCTTCCACCCCATTGTTTCAGCTTTTACTCTGTGGCATAAGACAGTGAGCCTGACAGTGCATGACATTCATCCTTCAAAGGCGCTGAATTCAGTATACCTGATCACTCAGCAGCAGGGAACATGAGCAATGCATTGGCAGAGAGGACCAGATTTCACCATTTTGAAAGGTATATAAGGCATCTGCCTTCAGCTCAGGAAAAAGTATACACATTCTCCCCTTACTACTACTATAAGGTTGACCCAAATGTAAGCAAAATAAAGTGTTCTTCAGGGGACGGCTAATTTGTCAACACTGCTAAGCACCTTGATTGGAAAATGGAAGTAGGGGTGCCAAGAAACTGATTCCCTGGCCCCACAGTAATGCCAGCCAGTTGCTGGGCTTTTGTTCTTAATTCCATATGATTATCACAGGCCAGAGGTCTGCCTCTCCTTTTCTATGTCAGACTTCATATGAAGGCTGAACCCATGAAGTCCAGGGTATACCATGTAGCATCCTGTCCAAAGGTGCTTTTTAATTTCTCAGACCAGATACACATCCGACAAGCTACTCTTGGTTATTGTACCTGACCTGAAAAAAAAATGGGCTTCACCTTGCTGAACTTGAATTAGAACTGCAGTCCTTTTACTGTAAACTGTTGGACCAGCTCCAATACCACTTCTGGGAAATCCTCACAGCAGCAAAACCCTGATCCTCTCCTTGAATAGCCAGACAAGAGCAATGCTTTCTGCCAGCTTTCCAGCTTACATCTCCGTGGTTGGCTACAGTGGAACACCTACCTTCTCTGGTGGAAAAAAGCATAAAAACATAGAAATAAAACAGGGAGACACAGTAGAAATAGGAGAAAGAGTATTCAAAAAGAAGTAAGAAAGGTAAAAGTAATTGAAGAAAGCAGAGGGAACAGCGGGAAGTAGTAATAGCAAAGCACACAACAAATTAAAAGCAAAATACTGAACTGACTGCTTTGCACCACATGAGGCTTTTTAGGACAGTGCAGAGGTGTCCTTACAAGGAATCGTAGAGGAAATGTTTGGAGGAGCTCCATGTGCATGTGGGAGGAGGTAGGGTGGAGGAAAGAAGGTGTTTGTTTTATTCATCCATGCTGCATAGGGAGCATCAGGTGGAGGAGTGAACTCTCCTCTTATCCACACCATGACATCGTCTGGAGTGCAGACAATTGTGCTCCAGATATCTATGGAAAAGAAAAATAGCATTTGCAAAACTGAAGAATGGGGGGCCCATAGCACACAGGTGATGTACCCTCTGAACAACAGAAAAGAGACTCTAGCTCATCACTTTATCTTCTATGGACACAGGTTTCCCCTGGCTAAAATTAGTCCTTGGAAAACTTTCTGGGAAAAATATTTGTGTACTGAAGAAAAGAAAAAAAAAATAATCTGCCCTGCAAAGAACCCGTGAGAAAGAAGGAACCTTCAACATATATATGGCCAATGTACTAGTGGAGGGCTTTCAGCCATTTATGATCTTAAAAAAAAGCTTAAGTTAAACAGGCACTTCAGTGTGAAGGATCCAGATGACTCACCTAAGGTCATAAAGAAGACTGTGTCAGAGCTGTAAACCGAGTTAATGTCATGAGGGCACCACGCAGGAAATGAAGAAACTTGTTCTTTTGCTCTTGGCTCTGCCACTGACTTGCTGTGTGGCAAATCACTTCCTCTTCAGGTGACTCAGTTTCTCCCAAAGGCAAATGGAAATAATGATTCATCTTTGTATAAGTCCTTTAAGAATGAAGATGGAAAATGTTATAGAAGAGCTAAGTAGGAATTCCATTCCAGTGCCCTCCCCAGCCCATTCTTTGTCCTCTTCTCGCTGGGTTTTTTTGCAAAATCATAAATCATAGAATAGGTAGGGTTGGAAAGGACCTTAAGATACCTAGTTCCAACCCCCCTGCCATGGGCAGGGACACCTCACACTAAACCGTGTGAA